CTGCATAAAAATATCGTCAAATCAAGGATCGTGGTGTTGAAAGCAAAGTGAAATACCGTGTCTAGAGTATATTTCAACAACGTCGTAAAGAATAGCGACTCTTTAGATCTTGTCTTTGGAGAGACGATAGTCGTTAGGGTAATTCTCACAAAGTTTACGCCCGGCAAAAGAACGAAACGACGATGATTCTCCACGATGAGTCTACGTGTTACGTTATGCGTTAAAATTAATATTTACAACGAGGTGAAAGTACAAAGCGTTGAGTTACGGTAGACAAAGGGAAGTTGGATGAACGAATTGTAAATTAAGAAAATTTTCGTCGGGAGAATGCCTCTTTTACGTACGTGAATTCTACTAATAAACTTCTCTTCCAACTTTTGAAAGAGAAAAACACAAATGGGAGTCTCGTTTAAAAATCATTCTTCCCTGTGATTCTCGATGAATCCACAGCGGATAGTTGTTCGCGACAGTTTAATTTTAAACTCGTGATTTGAATTGCGAAGAAAATCTTTTTTACAACTGGTAATGCTAGGTTACATCGAAGACGAGGAAAAATTGGTCGTTAGAAAGTCGTCTCTGATCGCTCGATTATCGTCTATCATCAGAGGAATCATTTAGATTATCGATCAATTTTTTTCGAATTTTAATTGTATAACGATCGATACGTGTTCTTAATTTTTAATCAAAATGATTTCTCCTATGGTAATAAGATAGAAAATACAGTCTTCTTTTAAACTTCTTGTAAATTTCGCGACATTTTAAATTATAAAATTTCTTCCTTATTATCCGTTAAACAAACCAGTCCAGTCTTAAATACTCGACAAAGCGTCCGAGGCTTTCTCAACTACTGTTTTCCTCGTCGAATCATTTCGATCTAGCCCGGAACTTCCCTCGAAACACAAATTCCTCGATTACTCAGCCGCTTTCTTCCATCTCTATAATCACAGAGTGTCCACTAGAAAATTTTTCCATCCATCCGTGCAAATTATAATGAGCGAGAGAGAGAGAGAAAAAGTGTCAGTGGGAAAATCTATCGTTTTTCCGCGCCGTTCACTCGACACTTGTCCGCAACGACAATCGTTTCACACACTGTCCTCCCTTGGTGTAAATTGGAACGTGATAAACTCGAGACTCGATTGATCGATAAAGGTATACCTTTGTCGTGAAGCGTTTTTCATCAATCAAAAACAGCCAATTTGATGTAGTTTCCCGCTGCTGTTATCCCATCGATCTCATTTTTTTTCTTTTTTTGAAGATATAGAAAAAGAGCAAGAAGAGCTACCTCTGGTTCTAGAAAAAATAATAAGCCTTTTTTTATTTTTTTTTTCAGAATCAGATGAATTTAAATTGAAATTTTTCCATCTAAATTTCACTTATGCGTGTAGAAGAAATATAGTTTAAAAATTTAACATTTTAAAAAGAGATTATTATCCGTTATTTTCTCTTATTTAATAAAGAAGAAATTGAAACTGTAATTAACTTTCATTAGAAATTTTACTCTTCGCAATTTGTTGTCATCTTTTCCCTTTCATAAGTTTTTGCTTTTGTTAAAATTGTTGTGAAAAGTGGATCATCCTTTCCTCTCGTTCGGATTAGGAGGCTTAAAAATATTCTGGAAACACTTTCAGAAAAGAGAGTTGAAAAAAATCATCCGTCGCGTTACGCTCCTCGAAAAAACAAGTCGCAAAACATCCATCCCCGGCAATTCCAGTTTATCATAATTGCAGTTTCACCGGAGATAGGCCGCAATTTTGCATGTTGTTGTTCCATCGGATTCACCGTGAACGCCTTCGACCGAGCCGACAGTTTCCTTCGACGTGGCTCCAATCTTTGGAGAGAAAGTAACACGCGTTACGATTCTAATGGACCAATTGAAAATCCCTCTCCCCCCTGTCCGTCCATCCATCGCTTCGAAGCCGAGATTGGTTGTTGGCCCGCCGATCATTTCGAACACGCGATCTTCTTCCTCGCGTGCTCTTATCCACGGAAGAAGAAAGTGAAGAAAAGCGAGGGGAGAAACGAGACGCGAGCAGTTCGAGATAGATTTTCGAACGGGCCAACAATCTCGAAAAAAAAGAAGAAAAATACGCGATATCGGTCGAGAGAAAACCTCCAACGAGTTAATTAAAATCGCGAAAAGAGAGGAGAAAAGGAGGGGGAGAGGGCGGTGTGAAAGCTACCTGTTTCGACAATCGTATCGACGATGTCGTCCTCTCCCTCGTTTCCACGGCCAAAACGTTGATGTGGCTCGTTCAATTAAGGACGACGCGCAATCGTGTGGGAACGAAGAAAGGAAACGAGGTTGAAGGAAAGTGACGCATGAGAACTAGGGAGGGCGAGAACTGTTTCCTCGCGAGTTCCTGGATCGTTGTCGATCGAGTTTCTTCTTTCATTTTGCGGCTCGAGGTGAATAAACGATACGATGGGCGGAATAGAACATTTTCTCCTAGAAATTGGCGACAAAATAATTTAAATGCACGTGTACGTTTTCTACAACGTTTCTTTGAAAGAAAATTTTTTTATCGAATCTCAATTTAACGATCGATATCTCGATGATCGACGCCTCGAATTTTCTTGCTTCGAAATGGAAAGCTGGATGGACGAACAAGAGTGAAACGATTCGCAATCCGCGTGATTTATTTACTTGTTTTGCCGGTGATACTTGAGCGGTGAAATGGAACGGACAAGCGTTCGTTACGATTGCTCGATCGAGACACAAACGAATGCAAAAGAAACGTGGAAAAATGGGTGGTGGTGAAACACGTTAAACTCGATGATTTCGTTTCCAGGGAGGATCACCAGACGTATCAGCCCACAGTTCTCTTCAAGAGAACGAAGCATCACAAGGGCTCGATATATTGCCTCGCGTGGACCCCGGATGGCCAGTTGATGGCGACCGGAAGCAACGACAAAACTGTCAAATTGATGCGCTTCAACGCCGACACATCAAATCTCGAAGGTAAATCTATCCATCCAGAGAGAGAGATAGAGAGATTTAAAAGATTTCACATTTCCTTCTTTCTCTTCCAACATTTTTCACCCATTAACAACGACGAGTATAATTTCATCGTGTCGATCTGCCATATATCTGCTCTCGAAATGACCGTCATTTATACTTTCAACTTCCTACTACTATTACTACTACTTGTCACTCCGTCTCCTTACCTGTATAATTCTTGCGTGACGTAACTCTTCGAAAAAAAAAAAAAGAAAGAAAAAATCTTCTTCCTTTTTAATACATCATTCCGTTTCAGGTCAAGAAGTGGAGCTTACGATGCACGACGGCACGGTTCGCGACCTGTGCTTCCTGGAGGATACCTCGAACAAGTCGAGTTTGTTGATCAGCGGCGGTGCCGGTGATTGCAAGATCTACGTAACCGATTGCGCCACCGGCACGCCCTTCCAGGCGTTGAGCGGTCACAGCGGACACGTGCTCACCCTTTACAATTGGGGAGGGGCGATGTTCGTGAGCGGATCGCAGGATAAAACGGTCAGATTTTGGGATCTTAGAACGAGGGGGTGCGTGAACATGGTCACGCCGGCGACGGTACCTGGCAGCAGGGTTAGTTCAGTTCCTTTTTAAAGGTGGTCGTGCCTTTCTTCTAGAATGCAAAATGAAGGATCTGAAATGTTAGAGGAAACGTAGCAATTGAAAAAGCTTTCGATCTCTATCGCGATAATTATATCCCAATAAAGATTTATCGATCGCTCTTCCGCTCGACTTCAGATCCATCGACCTAGCGTTTCTTCAGATTCTCGAGTAGCGTTTCTTCCTGTCATCGGCCCTGATCGAAGGAATTCTTTCCAATCCAATGTATACACGATTAAAAATAAAAATATATATATATATATATATAAATAAGATCGATAAATAAAATAAATCGATGCGAAGGAAAGGGTTTCTGTTCAAATTCACAATAGTATCCAGTATCTATCCAGCATGCATCGACGACGACATGCATCGACTTTTTACGTTGTTTAAGTTTCGTTTTTCAGTTCTACGTCCGATAAAATTTTCGACCCACGTTTTTCGAATCGCACCGATCATCGTTTGACCTCCCTCACACGAACGTCACGTCTCTTTCTTTCCCTCTTTCTAGTTCGCATCGCTCTACTTTTTCATCCAAGGATCGAACTTTTATCGGACGTACTCGAAAAGAAGGAAGGAACGGAATCAGTATCGCGTGTCTGATCAGCATTTGATCCCGTTGCAGGTCGGAAGCCCGGTAGCGGCGCTCTGCGTCGATCCATCGGGGCGTCTTCTGGTGTCCGGCCACGAGGACAGCAGCTGCGTCCTCTTCGACATTCGAGGCGGTAGAACCGTGCAATGCTTCAAGCCACACGCCGCTGATATCCGAAGCATACGTTTCTCCCCCTCGGCTTACTACTTGCTCACAGGCGGTTACGATAACAAGCTCGTTCTAACCGATTTGCAAGGTAAATTTCACGTTACTTATGTTCTCTCCATGATTTTTCAACGTTAACGAATAATCTATTTTTTTATAATAAGGAAAGGAGTGAACTTGATTAATTCGTTTTGAATTTATTTCGCAGGTGATTTAACGATGCCCTTGCCGAGCGTGGTGGTCGCGCAACATCAGGACAAAGTGATATCCGGTCGATGGCACCCGACGGAATTCTCGTTCCTCAGTACTTCCGCTGACAAGACAGCAACTCTGTGGGCTCTGCCACCTGTTTAGACGGACAAACGTCGATGGCACGCGTTTGTTTCTCATTCGTAACACTTTTTTCAGCAACAATCGCACTTGTACACCGTTCACGATCGTTCGTCTCCTCTTTCTCCCTCGTAACAATCGATCCTAATATATCGTAATATTAATACGTATTATAATTTTGACAAATGGAACGAAGCGATTTGCGAATCTTTCTTTTCATTCTTTCTTTCTTTCTTTCTTTCTTTCTTTCTTTTCTTGCCTTTCGTTTTTAATTCGAGAGAGAGAAATCCGGGCGAGAAAATATGGAAAAGTCGGGGGGGGGGGGGGGGGGGAAACGAACGATCGTGAATCGTATCGAGCGAAGCGTATTAAAAATCGGGAAGAAAAGTTTTTCTTTTTCACGCTAATAATTCAACCATGACCAATTAAACATTTCCTGAAACACGTTGAATCAGAATGCTGCGCGTGTGAGAAAAGGATTAAAAACCGCGCAAAGGAACATTGTTAACGGTGTTATTAAGTAAACGTTACACGCTTCGAGAGCCTCTGATGAGAAGGAGTGAAAGTGCATTTTCGCGTAGAGACGATGTAGCATCGAGCGTTCTAGGCGTTAACCATTTATCGACGACCAGTCATCGTTTTCTAGTAGGAATCATAAGACTGCGGAACAACCGACAAGGGAACTTCGTCGTTGCAAGTATTTATACGACGTCGCGATGATGAGACGTGCGTGTATACGAGAAACGAGAGACATCCTAGCTGTTATTTTATTTCGAGAGCAAACTGTCATCGCGAGGCGTAATTCTTTATCGCGATGATTTACCGCGTAGCATTTGTCTTCTTCTCTTGTTTTTTGTATAGAATTTCTTTCTCCCGGTCGCGTGTTTTGTCCCGGTGTACCTTCAGTAAGTATGAAAAGTAATTCACGCATTTGACTTATATTATAATTAAAACAGTTTATACAATTATATTCTTTTTAAAGTATTTAAACGAAACATATAAATATTTCTTCCAAATCGATATTTGTTGTTTTCTTTTATTCGTTATATTTCAATCAATCAAAATTATCGATAAATTGAACGTAACACAGATCGCACAGATACAGATTATTCAATTTATTTTGCATTATCTTGGAAAATATATATATATATATAAGAAGTTATTTTTTTTTACAAATATCGATATCGATAAATATAATTGTGTAACGTTTTAATTGTAATAATCGTCGCGAATAACTTTTTCTTACTCGCTGTACATTTAGCATAGAGTTAAAACACGATAATCACGGGAAGACCAAAA